CATAAAACAATATGTGTACTACTGTTTCATGAGAAACTATTTGTTCTGTAAGCCTTCACCTGAAGTACAATAAAAAATAAAAAAAAAAGAGTATTTATTTAAAAGTAGGCCGATTTTCACACTTTCTTGACTACCTTTCCTTCCTCCCCAAATCATGGCTTTATATACCCTTTGTCTATCCATCTATCTGCTAATAACTCCCAAATTTATATCTTCAGTCCAAACTTTTCCCTTGAGCTTGGCCAGTTGCCTAACTGACGTGCAGACACCTTATAGGCATTACAAATTTAAAACGACCAAAACAAAACTCTTGATTTTCCCTCCCAAACCAGTAAATGGCACCATCAATCACCCAAATGCTCAGGCAGAAAATGTGGGCGTTATCCTTGATTCCTATCTCCATATTCAATCCACAAGTCAGTCGTGCCAAAGAGCTATCTTTAATATATACCTAGAATCATCTATAATGTTACCACCACATTCCAAGTCACTGTTATCTGTCTCCTGAGTTATAACAATAGCCTGTATGCTTCCATTTGGGCTCCTTTGCTCAAAACGGCCCTCCCAACACACCTAGAATGAAAACCAAACACCTTATCATGGCCTATGAGGTCCTACCCAATATAACTACTCCCTGCCTGTCCTGCCACTTTCCCCTTTGCTTGCTCCACTCCACCAACACTGGCCTTCTTGCTATTTTGCCAATATGTCAAAATTCTTCCCACCTTATCTGCTGTTTCCTCTGCCATGATCTTTGCATTGTTCACACCTTCACATCATTCTCTTCACTACTAAAATACCACTTTCTCAGAGAGGCCTTTCCCAAAGTAGTGTCCCTTTACTCTGCCTTACTTTCTTCATAGTCCTTATTACTATCAAAGTATATGCTAACTGCTATATAAAGTATTCAATTAAAATATATATACCTCTAGACATTAAGAAATCATGTATTATACTGCAAGGATGTTAGAAAGTAGATTTAAGGTAAAACAACAAACAGGTATGTGGTTATGCCTCTCCATTCTTCTTGTAAGAAGATGTAAATAAATTGTGCATGCATTTTATTGGGGGCATTCTGTACACATTCTGCTACACAATGTAGCATTTTAACACTAGAGAAGAAAGGAACCTTTAATATCTGATTATCTTTAAATATCTGTATTTTTATTTAATTTTTTATTAAATTCTCTATTCATTTATAATCTGATCACAGATCCATTTAGTGAGGGACCACTGTCCCTCTTTTTTACTTCTAAAATATTTATTATATTTACATTAAGGCTCAGGATAATATCCATTAATTCTATTTTTTTCCCTCTGTCTTATAACAATTTCAATGTAAGAAAGATGGATTTTATAAACTTTTGTATTTATCATATCAGGTAGAATGACTTTTTTTATCCATTTGCTTTCAGATACTCATTTCAGTATTTACTTCACTTTTTTCTGTATACAACAGGTAATTAGTATATTTCTTTTGTAGATCATAAATAAAATTTACCTTCTTGTATCCCATAGCTTGACATAGTTATCTAAAGAACCTGAGATCAGCTGCTGTTCATGAGTAGGAGACCACTTTACTGATGTGACCCATCCTGTATGTGACGTTAGGGACAGTGACACCAAAGAACCGTCTGAATAAAACAAAAAGATAACAATTGTTGAATTTTAGAAAAGAGAAGTAGTAGAACAAACCCAAGAAATACTTCTAGAAAATTAAGTTTTTACACACATTTCTAGTGAGAAGAGAAATTAGTGTTATTCACACACTCCCACCAAGGTTTACGAGACTCACCTTTAGTTCGGGGATCCCACAGTCTGATATGCCTATCTGTGCTCCCAGATGCTAACCGTTTACAAAGTGGTGAATAGGAGACACAATTAAAAACTTTATTTCCTGTCTGAAAAAGAGAAGAAAAGAACACTAAACTATGGTGGGCTAAAAGTAACCATCTCTAGAAGTTTACACGTAAAAGTTCAAAGTCAATCAGAAAATCATGGAATTTGTAAGTCTTACCAAAGTTGACTTAAGACTGCCAGCCTCAACATCCCATACCCTAATCGTATGGTCCCAAGATGCACTGCAGACTTCTTCAGCATCTGACCAGAGAACTGAAGAAATTGCTTCCTTGTGGCCAGAGAGGGTCACCATGGGAGTCTAGAAATGAAAGATCCCCAAAAGAAGAAAGTAATTTCATTTCAGAGTAATAGAACCAATAGTAGCAGTTATTACTTCTGAAGCTCATATGCTAGATGATTTGTCAGGGGCTTCAGCTTTCATACACTGCCTTATTTCTTCTTTACAGTAACCTCCAATATGGCTATTTCGGTTTTCATTTTATAGGTGAAGAAACAGAAGCTGAGAAAGATAACTTGCCTAAGGTCATACACTTTCTAAGTGGCAAGACTCAAGTTTTAACCCAAATATTACTCCAGAGTTTGTTGTCTTTCTACTATATTCTGCTGCGTCCTCATCTGTTATGTCAACTTTTCATTTTGAGCAGTATTAATACTAACACTAACTTAATTCTGCCAGCTGACAAATATGTTTTATGTAGAGATTAATAGAAAAGGCTTTGAGATCAGACAGACCTAGGTTCAAGTTCAAGATACTAACAATTAACTCTTCGAGGCGAATTAATCTCAATATGGTATTCTTATCACCCTATATCCTCAATATTTTTAAGTCATATTACTTAATTTTAAAATAATGTCCATGGCTCATTTACTAATACTCTAAAATCTCTAATAAAAGCCCCAAACTACGTTTACTGCCTGTCTTAAATATAAGGAACATGTGAAAAAGAGGGAAAGAATTCTGGACTGGGAGATGGTCAACTACTATTGTACATTTGTTACATTTAACCTCCTTAAATATTATTACCTCATCTGTAATATGGAAGGTTACACTAGACTGGGGATCAGCAAACTTTTTCTGTAATGGGCCAAAGTAAATATTTTATGCTTTGTAGGCACATACAACAGTCTCTGTTGCATATTCTTTTTGTATTTACAATCTTAGCTCTGTGTGGTACAAAAACAGGTGACAGCCAAATAAGCTGTTGGGCTGTAGTTTGCCAACCTCTAGAAATGAAAGATCCCCAAAAGGAGAAAGAATTTTCATTTCAGAGTAATAGAACCACTACTAGTAGTCATCACTTCTGAAGCTCATATGCCAGATAGTTTGTCAGGTTTCTCTTCCAGTTCTAAAATTTTCCTGAAGTAAAGGAACCTGATAGAGTGAAGGATGGAACAGCCTCTGTTGTGATCTAAAACAAAGTGAAAAGTAAGGTAGCATAAATGTAACCAGAAGGCTCTAGGATAGAAAATGGCATGGTAAAAACAGCAGGTGAACTTTCCTAGGTATTTACCCAAGAGAAATGAAAAACTTAGGTTCACACGAGCACCTATACACAAATGTTTATAGCAGCTTTATTCATAACTGCCAAAAAGTGGAAAGAATCCAAATATCTTTCAACTGGTGAATTACCAACTGTGGTACATCCATACAACAGAATACTACTCAGCATTTAAAAGGAACAAACACCACTGATACCATGAACAACATGAACGCATTGCAAATGTTCTATGCTAAGTGAAAAAAGCCAGATGCAAAAGACTGTATACCGTGTGATTCCACTTATGGGACATTCTGGAGAAAAAAAACAATAGGAGTGGAGAACGGATCAGTGGTTGTCAAGGGGAGATGGAGGGACTGATACAAAGGGGCAGCAGGCAGGAAATTGTGGGGGATGATGGACTGTTCTGTATCTCACTTGTAGTAGCAGTTAAATGCTTTTACACATGTGGTTGCTATGAAGTGGAACTGACTCCATGGCAACTAACAACAACACATGCATGTATCAAGACGCTGAGCTATACACCAAAAAGAGTGGATTTTACAGTATGCAAATTTTTTAAAAAAAAAGAAGAAAAATTGACTTTGACACTGTTACCACAAACAAACTGACGTGGATAATATTGGAGAGAAAAAAGCAATTTTGAGAAATATGTAGGAAAAAACCTCACTGTATAGTGGTGATGGTTGCACAACACTGTGAATGTAATTAATGGCACTGAATTGTAATTAATTGCCGAATTGTTAAAAAGGCAATTTTTATGTTAGATATATTTTACCATAATAAAGTGTAAAAAAAACTTCCTGTATGATAATGTACAAAGCAAATGACAGGTAAAGCGTCAGGTACTGAAAGGAAATGGAGAGAGAAGATAAACAACCGTTTTTGATAACTGTCTTATCCTTTTGGTCTTAAAAATCCAAATTTTTCTATTATTTGCTAATTACAGCAAAATTTTCACTGCAGTTAGCACTTCAAGGGTGTCTGGCATCATGAAATCAAATATAATAGCTAAATAATAACCTACCAATCTGTAAGCCTGGTTCAATGATACTAAGTTCAAAGACAAGGAAAATGTAGCATAACACAGCGTTTATAATTGAAAACTTTACAAACCTACTAAAAGAAAGCATAATTATGATTGAAGCAGCAAGGCAAGGCAAAAGGAAACATAAATTGGGAAAGACTACATTAATTTACTATATATTTGTCAATACTGACCTACATGAAGCAGTCAATTTTTACAAACGCTTACCCTTGTTAGTCCCAACTGCTCTGTTTTCTGTTTCTTTCTGGGTCGATTTATGGATTCCTCCGTTTCATCTTCTTCATCGGTAGGGACTGCATTATAGAGAATTAGATTTAACATTTTCTTAATGTACAGTCAATATTAGGAGCCCTGGTTGCGCAATCGTTAAACACTCAGCTGCTAGCCGAAAGGTCAGTGGTTCGAACCCATCAGCCGCTCCACAGGAGAAAGATGTGGCAGTCTTCTTCCGTAAAGATTTACAGCCTTGGAAACCCTATGGGGCAGTTCTACTCTGTCCTATAGGATGGCTATGAGTCAGAATTGCCTTGACAGCAACAGGTTTTTTGTTTTATTATTGTAGTTTAAGTGAAAGTTTATTACAATTCAAGTTAGTCTCTCATACAAAAATTTATACATACATTGTTATGTGACCCTAATTGCTTCCCTATACTGTGACAGCACACTTCTCCTTTCCACCTAATTTCCTGTGTCCATTCAACCAGCTCCTAACCCTCTCTGCCTTCTCATCTCACCTCCCGACAGAAGCTGCCCATTTAGTCTCATATAGCTACTTGAGCTAAGAAGCACACTCTTCACAAGTATCATTTTATGTCCCACAGTCCAGCTCAATCTTTGTCTGAAGATTTGGCCTCAGGAATTGGTTTACTTCTGGGTTGACATCGGTCTTTTACGACTCTGGTTAGATTTATTCCGAAGTATTTTATCTTCTTGGGGGCTATTGTAAATGGTATTATTTGGTGATTTCCTTTTCAAGGTTCTCTTTGTTGGTGTAAAGGAATCCAACTGATTTTTGTATGTTTTCCTGCTATCCCAATACTTTGCTGAAATCTTCTGTTAGTTCCAGTAGTTTTCTTGTGGATTCTTCAGGGTTTTCTGTGTATATAAGACCATATCATCTGCAAAGAGAGATACTTTGACTTTCTCCCTACCAGTTTGGATGCCCTTTATTTCTTTTTCTACCCTAATTGCTCTGGCTAGGACCTCCAGCACAATGTTGAATAAGAGTGGTGATAAAGGGCATCCTTGTCTGGTTCCCGTTCTCAAGGGGAATGCTTTCAAACTCTCTCCATTTAGGAGGATGTTGGCTTTGTATAAATGCCCTTAATTATGTTGAGGAATCTCCATTCTGTTCCTATTTTGTTGAGAGTTTTTATCATGAATGCGTGCTGGACTTTGTCAAATGCCTTTTCTGCATCAATTGATAAGATCATGTGGTTCTTGTCTTTTGTTTTATTAATGTGATGGATTACATTGTTTTTCTAATGTGGAACCATCCCTGCATACCTACTATAAATCCCACTTGATTATGGAGAAGTATTTTTTTGATATGTTGCTGAATTCTATTGGCTAGAATTTTGTTGAGGATTTTTGTGTCAATGTTCGTGAGGGATATTGGTCTGTAATTCTCTTTTTAGGTGGTGTCTTTACCTGGTTTTGGTATCAGGGTTATGCTGGCTTCACAGAATGAGTTTGGGAGTATTCTATCCTTTTCTATGCTCTGAAATACCTTCAGTAATAGCGGTGTTAACTCTTCTCTGAAAGTCTGGTAGAATTCTCCAGTGAAGCCATCCAGGCCAGGGCTTTTTTTTGTTGGGAGTTTTTTAATTACCTTTTCAATCTCTTCTTTTGTTATGGGTTTATTTAGTTGTTCTACCTCTGTTTGTGTTAATTTAGGTAGGTAGTGAGTTTCTAGAAATTTGTCCATTTCCTCTAGGTTTTCAAATTTGTCAGAGTACAATTTTTCATAGTATTCTGTTATGATTCTTTTAATTTCAGTTGGGTCTGTTGTGATATCACCCATCTCATTTCTTATATGGGTTATATGCTTCCTCCCCTGTTTTTCTTTTGTCAGTTTGACCAATGGTTTATCAGTTTTGTTGATCTTTTCAAAGAACCAGCTTTTGGCCTTGTTAACTCTTTCAATTGTTTTTCTATTCTTTATTTCATTTAATTCTGCTCTAATTCTTGTTACTTCCTTTCTTCTGGAGCCCGAGGGCTTCTTTTGCTGCTCTCTTTCTACTTGTTCCAGTTGTAGGGTTAATGTTTTGATTTTGGCCCTTTCTTCTTTTTTGGATGTGTGCATCTATTGCTATAAACTGACCTCTGAGCACAGCAACAGGTTTTTATACTTAATATTAATTGCAAACAGTCTCAAAGAATTCTTTACATTTCCAGGCATAGTTCCATGTTATCTCAATTGGTTAGGGAATGGAGAGTCCTCAATATTTTGGTTAACTGAAAATTATAGAAAAACAATACCTGGATTATCAATCTTTGAAAAATTAGAAAGAAAAAAGCATATTAAAAACTAAAACTCAACCAGTTAGAAATCTTGCTATGTCTTCAACATCATTAGGAATATTTATTACTCTACAATAAAAACCAAAAACCCATTGCCATTGAGTTGATTCTGACTCAGAGCAACCCTATAGGACAGAGTAGAACTGTCCTATAGAGTTTCCAAGGAGCGCCTGGTGGATTCGTACTGCCAACTTTTTGGTTAGCAGCCGTAACTCTTAACCACTACACCATCATAGTTATGCAACAATAGTTATGCAAAACTGTTTACTATTCTAGGAGAGTTTTGACCAAATTATTTCCATTAAAAAGGAGGCATGACAAGGTAAATAAACATATTAAAAGCAGATACATCTCAGCTATATTTATTCTCCTTGACTAATAAATAATATATACTTCCACTTTTCTAACAGAATTAAGTGTTTTATAGATAGTTGTTTTTTGCTTGATTTCTTTTAATTATTATTACAAGTCATTTGAGTAGGTAGCACACCACGGATTTTCATTTTTTTTAACTTTTATGAATATTCATCTGCTTTCCCCCCCTAGACAATAAGCCCTTTAAGGGTAACAACTAATCACATACATTATCTCATTTATCCAGCACTATCAAAAACTAAAATATTCCACAAAAGAAAAGTTTTTGAAACTAAACCACTTTCTGCCTCAAAATTGCTTGCTTTAATCATTTTTAGAAAATCTACTAAAATGAATTATTTATTTCCTGCCATTTTACAGATAATTTTTTCATACAGTTTCAACTTTTCTTGATCCCTCCACCTCAATTTTGTGACCTTTATTTAGGGTATTATACTGCAATACAGCAATTCCCTCAGAAGTGACAGAGGTATTCTGGTTTGTTTGCTGGTAAGATAAATAGTTCTAGACTACTAGGTTTTTAAAATTTAATTATGTTTTATGGGTTTTTTCCTTTTAGTTCCAATCAGTATCCTCTTACTACTATCAATGCACCTTCCTCTAAAAGTCCTCCCCCTCTCCTGTTCTCTCTTATTGTTCCTTCTATATTTTCAAATTAATAAAGTTAAGCTTGGTAAAATTATATTAAAATTAAAAAATAAAGTAAACCAGTTTAACTGAGAGAACCCTCCAACAGTAAAGCATATCAAAGTGACTCAGACGGTATCTTTGTTTATTTCCAGTGTGGTATAAGGCCTAGAATTATCATTATGTGCTGCCTTTACATCTAGAAAATCAGAAGAGTCTCAAATGCCCTAACCACAAGTTCCTCCACCCCTGCCCCATGAATAAGGTCCCCTAGCTAAACAATCCAGTTTATCATGGGGGCCATGGTAAGTGTCTACTTTATCCCTGAGTATCAGCTCTGATTCTGTCCATCATAATGTTCCCCGTCAGCCTGTGGAATTATTAGACAAGTAAACCACATCCTCCCACAGGAACCAAGGGTCATATCTCACCTTCTTGTTACAACAAAGTCAGCCTTTCACAGGCCCTGCTTGTTCACTCTGTTCCTGAGTACTATGGATTGAACTGTGTCCCCCAAAACATATGCTGAAATTATAACCCCTGTACCTGTAAATATGATCCTGTTTAGAAATGGGGGTTTCCTTTGTTATGTTAATGAGGCTGCACCAGAGTAGGGCAGATCCTAAACCTAACCACTTCTGAGTTATAAAAAGAGCAGACAGACACAGAGACACACAGGGGGAAGAGAGACGCCAGGGAACACCAAAGAACACCAAGGATGCTGGCAGACATCAGAAACTAGGAGAGAGGCTCACAAAAAAAAATGACATGGCCAAGATCCTGATTCGGACTTTTAGCCTTCAAAACTGATAAAACATATTTCTGTTCTTTAAAACCACTTACTTGTGGTATTTTTGTTAAAGGAACAATAGATAACTAAGACACCAAGTACAACCCCCCTGCATGGCACACTATCCTCCTCTCTTGGGGCCTGTGAGTATATATGACTAATACATGGCTGTTGATCTCATTTGTCCAGTATTGGGTGTCATGTGTTTGGCCATCCCCATAACCCTAAGGCAGGAATTCCTTCCTTACCAACAGGATAAAGAGGAAGCAATCAAAACTCCAGGTCCTTCCTCATCAAAATTAAAAACTTTTGTTCACAAAAGGACTTTATCAACAAAGCGAAGACACCTACAGATTGAGAGAAAATTTTGGGGAGCCATGTATCTTATAAAAGTTTAACATCCAAGATATATAAAGAACCTTACAACTTAATAACAAAGACACACAAACCAACAGAAAAAGGGCAGAGGACTCAGACATTTCACCAAAGAAATACAAATGGCTAACAAACACATGAAAAGATGCTCAACATCATTAGTCATGAGGGAAATACAAATCAAAAACACAATGATGTATTACTTCACACCTACTAAGAAGGCTATGATTAAAAAACGGAAAACAACAGGTGTTGGTGAGGAGGTTAAGAAACTGAAACCCTTATCCATTGCTGGTGGGACTGTAAAATGGTACAGCTGCTGCGGAATACAGTTCAGCGGTTCCCCAAGAAGTTAAATATATTATTACCATTATGGGATCCAGCAATTCCACTTATAGTATATACCCAAAAGAATTGAAAGCAGGGATGCAAACACATACACACCAATGTTCACTGTAGTATTCATAATACCCAAAAGGTAGAAATAGCCTAAATGTTCATCAACAGATGAATGGATAAATAAAATGTGGTATGTACATACAATCAATGGACTATTACTCAGCCATAAAGAGAAATGAAATCCTGATACATGCTACAACATAGATGAACCCTGAAAACATGTTGAGTGAAATATGTTAGCCACAAAAGGTCAAATATTGAATGATCCCACTTAAATATCTAGAATAGGCAAGTTATAGAGACTAAAGTTTATTAGTGGTTACCAGGGGTGGGCAGGAGGGAGAAGAAAAGGAGAACTCACTGCTTAGAGGACACTGAGCTTCTGTTAATTGTGATGGAAAAATTTGGAAACAGATAATGGTTATGGTTGAACAATGTGATAAACATAATGTCACTGAATTGTACATGTGAAGAATGTTGAAAGGGTCACTGTTTTCTTACATGTATATTTACCACAATAAAAAAATGAAATAAAAATCCACGTCCTCGTACAAGAGAACTCTCTGAACTAAGGTAGTTATGTCCTATTGCACCAAACACGCTGTTGACACTTGTAGTGATTCAGTAACATTTTCTTACAAATAAGGGGTGGTGGGGTAGAAAAAAATTTTGAAACACAGGTATACTAATTTTTCTCTATACTACGAGGGTGAAATGCCCCTTTATGTGTGTCCTCAAAAGTTCTGGTCCATTATTATGGCTAAATATGGGTTAAAAAGTCCTCTTTCACTGAAATTCTTAAAATATGTTTAATAAGTCAGAATAAAAGAAAAATTTACCTGTAGACCAGATCTTTAGCATCTTATCCCAGGAGCCACTGCAGAACTAAACATATATATATATAAAGGAAAAAAAAAAAAAAGTATGTAATATAATTCATCATACTACTTGCCTCATTGTTTCTACTATTTAACTTAAATCTTTACTTTGCTTAATTTCTGTGGGGCATGGGCTATGAAATCCTTTTCTACTAAGGTACCATCTGCCTAGCTTACTGGTCTCCTTGAAGCTGTACCCTCAATCTCTGCTCACAGTTGGTTAGATCAGGGTGGACCACTGAAGGATACTGTGCCAATAGGTCTCTTACTCATTAAGGACCTTTCTTTTAAAACTGTGTCTCAGAGACTTATAGTCTTCTTCTAGGAAAGATGGCATGGGGGGTAAAATCTGGGAAATAATGAAGACCAGATTTATTGCCATGTGGAGAAAGCCAATCAATGAGAGAGAATAAAGCCAGTTTAGGGAGATGATGTAGGGAGAGAGCATGCTAGCCACATGTGAGCCTCTGTTCTATTGGTTCCTGAAGCCCAACTGCATCATCACTCTTCTTGTGATAAATTTTCCTTTAAAGAAATTTAAGAAGAGTTTCTGTCTCTTGTAACCAAAAGACAGGGTACAGTTAATTCATGTAAGTCTAGATTCAACAACATGTAAACTTCTTTTGGACTCAATATGAAAAATCATAAATCTTTCCCTTTGAATGCATAAAATGTCCTCTGTTACCCTAACTGGCAAAGAAATACTGAAGAAACACTCCTAAATCCAGGATACTTCAACTTGGCTTAGGGAACTTTCTAATTGTTAAGAGAGTTAGTAGCTCCTTGTGAGTCAGTATAGTGTGGCCGCCCATCTTTTGTTTCCTTTCAAATAACATCTACCATTTCATCATGACAAAGAGTAGATCAGCACTGATAGTAAACCAAACTCTATTAACACTAATTCAGTGTACGTGATTTCTTAAAATTTCTGTGATTTATACTTGGTTCTAAACCAGAGATACCCAGACTGAGGAAGTGTCTCTTTGTCTCTTATTTCATGAGTGTTTACTGTTGCTTTGAAAGCATATTCCTTAGTCACTAAATGTTATTAAACTAAGCCAATCACAGTACGTATATGTAGAAAATTCTGGTAAGTAGCTCAAATTCTAATTTAACACAGTACTAATAACACACCAGCTACTTACTTTAGTTCCTGTGCTATCAACAGCTATAGAATCCACACTCCCAGCATGACCTCTGCAGCAGTGCAGGGCTTTCATTTTGTTTCTCTCTATATTCCACTCCCATAAGAGAATAGTTTGATCCATAGAAGCACTCAGTAGTAAGCAAGACAAATTATCTGAAGAAAGGAAAACACAGAATAAGAAACAAATTAGTGCAAAAGTTTTAAATACACTGTGTTCTGAAACCAAAGAAATGATTTTTTTTTTTAAAAAAAAAGATGTTAAATAAATAAAAGAGCTCATTAGGCTGGCTTTTAAAAAGAAAGTTAACTTACAATGTAAAGGGAAGGTTCTTCAAACAGACCATAAAAGATCATGAGTTTAACGTACCCCATATTAACTTGAAAATGTATATTACCTGATGTAAACTTAGGAAGAATTCATTTCTACCAATTTTATGGATTGTTTTATATGGCTGTTTTCTTCAGAAAGACTATATTGTTGAAAGACCTCATAATAACTGAAGCATAAAACATTTCCTGGCTGCTCCCTACTCTGCTCCAGCACTAAAAATGGTTTCTTTCCAAATCCCTGCACAGGATTCTTTTTCATTTAGGCAAAGAGTCCTAACCTTCTTTCACCCAGGCCACATCTTTAACAACATCCGTATGTCCCACAATTGTCATTATCGACTTTCCTTCCAAGGACCAGATTCGAGAAGTCTTATCGTAAGAGCCAGTCAAGATCCTATAAGAAGAAAAAAATTCTGTGAAATAAAAAAAGCAGCATTTTCTTTTTCCCACACAAAAATTTGTACATACATTTTTATGTGACCCTAAGTGCTCTCATTACTGTGACAGCACACTCCTCCCTTCCACCCAATTCTCCATGTCCATTCAACCAGCTCCTAATCGTCTCTGCCTTACCATCTCACCTCCGGACAGAAGCTGCCCATTTAGTCTCTTGTATCTACTTGAGCTAAGAGGCACACTCCTCACGAGTATCACCTTATGTCCCACAGTCCAGTCCAATCCCTGTCTGAAGAGTTGGCCTTGGAAATTGTTTTAGTTCTGGGCTGAGAGAGAATCCAGGGGCCATGCTCTCAGGAGTTCCTCCAGTCTCAGTCAGACCATTAAGTCTGGTCTTCTTACTAGAATGTGAGTTCTGCACCCCACCATTCTCCTGCTCCATCAGGGACTCTCTGTTGTGTTCCCTATCAGGGCGGTCATGGGTGGTAGCCAGGCACCATCTAGTTCTTCTGGTCTCAGGCTGATCAAGTATCTGGTTTACGTGGCCCTTTCTGTCTCTTGGGCTAAAACTTTCCTTTTGTCTTTGGTGTTCTTCATTCTCCTTTACTCCAGGTGGTTGGGACCAACTGATGCGTCTTAGATGGCTGCTTGCAAGCTTTTAAGACCCAAGACGCCACTCACCAAAGTAGGATGCAGAACATTTTCTTAATAAGCTTTGTTATGCCAGTTGACCTAGACGTCCCCTGAAAGCATGGTCCCCAGACCCCTACCCCTGCTACTCTGTCCCTCAAACTGTTTGATTGTATTCAGGAAACTTAGCTTTGGTTTAGTCCAGTTGTGCTGACTTCCCCTGTAGTGTGTGCTGTCCTTCCCTTCACCTAAGATAATTCTTATCTACTATCTAGTTAGTAAATCACCCTCCCCCTCCCTCCCCACCCTCGTAACCATCAAAGAATGTTTTCTAAAAAGAAGCATTTTCAAACCCTGAAAATCAATTGTGTTTTTAATGCAGTGACAAAGTCAACCTAAGGATTATACTTTTAAAGTCTTCTTTAATTATAAAGATTTCAAAATACAGCAGATCAGATATTACACTTGACTTTTCCTGACCTCCTAAAGATAAAAATATAACTGACAAACCCTAGACTTCATTTTTTTTTACTACTGTTGTAAATACGACAACTCTCAGGGAAGCCATGCAAACTGCTTATAAAGCCTACTAGTCCTTTGTACTTAACCCATGACTAAAACAGTAAAACCATTTAAGTAAAAGTAAAACCAGTAAAAATAAAACATTGTGTAATAATTCCTGGGAGACATATTTTGCAAGTAAGCTTCTACTATGATCTTCTTTTGAGGTGTTTTCCTATCAGTAAGGCCAGTGGAGGTTTGCTCTGCACCATCCACACCTTCTTACATGATTCCAGTTGGCCCTTTCTGGCATTAGAAAGTGTAATCTACATCTTCCTGGTAGCAGGTCAGGAGAGCCATGGCTATAAAAGTTATTTTTCCTCTATGAAACAAATTATCTTCGGTCTTAAAAGCATCATACTCAAATAAATAAATTCAATGTCCCAAGACATATGACCTATTCAGAAGACAAATATCACTACAACATCTTGAGACAAGAAAACCTATTAATAGATAAACAGTTTCTTCTTGAATACACTGAATGCAAGTATCTTTCTTTGTTTGACATGGTCACTGATGCATACATCACAAAATTAGTTTTACAAAGAATTGGAAATCAGAGAAAAATATTCACATAGTGGGTTAAAGAAGGCGGCATTAAAAAAAGAGATAAAAGAACATGCATCTGGTAATACCATTCCTCTGCCCCTTTTACTGAACTGATCCAGTCATCGTGGAACATGCATTGCTCTGGCTGAGGTGCAGTGTACTTCTCCACGTACTCTAGTTCCACAACCTCTTCCTAGTTACAGAGAGAAACCAGAAGCCAATTAGGTGGTACAGTTTTTAAATAGTACATTATGAAGATAAAGGACCTTAAAGTATCTCCTTCATATTAGTGCCCTTCATAATCCCTGAAAATTAAGAGTCATACAAAAGGTCAAAAACTTTATTTGACCTAACAACATGCTGTGAGTAAAATTATTAAGGAATATCAGTAACCTTGGAAAACTTATGCTAAAGGTGGGAAACAAAAGAATATAAAAAAATTTTTTTGATTATTAAATGTTCAAAGAAATTATAAATTATATTTTAAATTATAAAAGCAATACTATGGAAAATTGGAAAATTAGGGGAAAAAGGGAATCACCTATAAATCACAATAATTTAACCCATAAGTTTTGTTATACGTGCACAATCATTTTGTATACCTACATTGTTGTTGTTGTTAGGTACCGTCCAGTTGGTTCCAACTCATAGCAACCCTATGCACAACAGAACAAAACACTGCCTGGTCCTGCACCATCCTCACAATTGCTGCTGTGTTGGAGCCTATTGCTGCAGCCACTGTGTCAATCCATCTCAAGAGTCTTCCTCTTTTTCACTGACCCCTCTACTTTGTTGTTGGTGGTGGTGGTAAGGTGCCATCAAGTCAGTTCCGACTCATAGCAACCTATGTACAACAGAATGAAACACTGCATGATCCTGCTCCATACTCACTGTTGTTGTTATGCTTGCCCATTGTTGCAGCCACTGTGTTAGTCCATCTTGTTGAGGGTCTTCCTCTTTTTTGCTGACCCTTTACTAAGCATGATGTCCTTCTCCAGGAACTTGTCCCTCCTGATAACATGTCCAAAGTATGTAAGATAAAGTCTTGCCATCCTTGCTTCTAAGGAGCATTCTGGCTGTACTTTTTCTGAGACAGATTTATTCATTCTTCTGGCAGTCCATGGTATATTCAATATTCTTCGCCAACACCATAATTCAAAGGCATCAGTTCTTCTTCGGTTTTCCTTATTCATTGTTCAGGTTTTGCATGCATATGAGGGGACTGAAAATACTATGACTTGGGTTAGGTGCACCTTAGTCCTCAGACCCCTCGGCTTTACCAAGCATGACGTCCTTCTCCACGGACTGGTCCCTCCTGATAATATGTCCAAAGTACATGAGACGAAGTCTCACCATCCTCGCTTTTAAGGAGTGTTCTGGCTATACTTCTTCCAAGACAGATTTGTTTGTCTTCTGGCAGCCCATGGTATATTCAGTATTCTTCACCAAAGCCATCAATGCTTCTTTGGTCTTCCTTCTTCATTGTCCAGCTTTCACATGTATATGAAGTAATTGAAGATACTATGGCTTGGGTCAGGCGCACCTTAGTCCTCAAGGTGACATCTTTGCTTTTTAACACTTTAAAGAGTCTTTCACAGCAGATTTGCTCAATGCAACACATCATTTGATTTCTTGACTGCTGCTTCCGTGGACGTTGATTGTGGATTCAAGTAAAATGAAGTCCTTGACAACTTCAAAATATTCTGTTTATCATTTTTTTTTTTATGGATTTTTTAAGGATTTTTGTTTTATGTTGAGGTGCAACCCATACTGAAGGCTGAAGTCTTTGATCTTGATCTTCCTCAGTAAGTGCTTCAAGTCCTCTTCATTTTCAGCAAGCAAGACTGTGTCATCTGCATATCCCAGGTTGTTAATGAGTCTTCCTCCAATCCTGATGCCATGTTCTTCTTCAGATAGTCCACCTTCTTGGATTATTTGCTCAGCATACAGTTGAGTAAACACGGTGAAAGGATACAACCCTGATGCACACCTTTCCTGACTTTAAACCACACAGTATCCCCTTGTTCTGTTTGAACGATTACCTCTTGGTCTATGTACAGGTTCTGCATAAGCACATTTAAATGTTCTGGAATTCCCATTCTTTGCAATGTTATCCATAGCTTGTTATGATCCACATAGTCGAATGCCTTTGCATAGTCAATAAAACACAGGTAAACATCTTTCTGGTATTCTCTGCTTTAAGCCAAGATCTATCTGACATCAGCAATGATATCCCTTATTCCATGTCCTCTTCTGAATCCAGCTTGAATTTCTGGCAGTTCCCTGTCCATGTACTGCTGTAACCATTTTTGAATTATCTTCAGTAAAATTTTACTTGTGTGTGATATTAATGATACTGTTCAATAATTTCCGCATTCTGTTGGATGGATTACCTTTCTTTGGAATGGGCAGAAATATGACTGTCTTTCAGTTGGTTGGTCAGGTAGCTGTCTTCCAAATTTCTTGGCATGGACAAGAGAGCACTTCCAGATCGTACCTGTTTGTTGAAACACCTCAGCTGGTATTCCATCAATTCCTGGAGCCTTGTTTTTCGCCAGTGCCTTCGGTGCAGCTTGGACTTCTTCCTTTAATACCGTTAGTTCCTGATCATATATACTACCTCCTGAAATGGCTGAACATCGACCAATTCTTTGATACATCTATATTAGTAGTATACATATATTTACTGCCCCTTTTCTTGCCAATTTTTCCACAAATAATGAAGGCATCTTTCTATCTTCATTTATGCACTTTTTAGAAGAGCGGGGATTTCAAAATTAAATATATAGAAACTAAAGTTCAAATTTCTAGGAAAAAACAATAATCAAAAGAATCTTGGGCATTGAAGATAAATTCAGGCTAATTCCAAAAGGAGTTTATTTGATCATGCCTTAAGTAAAACACAGAAAGTAAGTATCTGAACTTACTGATGAGATGTTCTCCAGTTCCATGTGTTTAACCAAGGGCATTCGTAGAAACTGGCCCTTGACAAGGAAATCAAACTCCACATGTTTGTGGAACTCTAAAGAAAACACAAAATAAAATTATCATCACTCTCAGGACCTAGTTCAAGTGGTGTTGGCAGAGGTATACAAAAAAAATCTCAAAACAAACAGGTATCTATTATCCCAGTGTGATCTCTGAGTTTCTCCAGAATTTCTCCATGGCACAATCAGGCCATGTATTCTCGTATACTATGTGGTTTTTAAGAAGAGAAGTATTGTTGTTGTAATTATTATACTTTTTAAAAAACCTTTTATTCTATAGAAAATCTCAAACTATACAAAAGTAGAAATAATATAATGAATCCCCATGTATCCATCACCATCACCAACTTTGATAAATACCTACTCTTGGGCAACCATCTATACTCCTCCCTCTACTCCCCTGCTAGTTAATTTTAAATCATACCTCAGAAATGATACCAATTTATCTGTAAATACTTTAGTATGCATATCTAAAATATAAGGGCTTAAAAAAAAGAGCCACAATGTTAAAAAATTTAACGGTTCTTCTTTTTTAATCAAATAGCCAGTCAACGTTCATATTTCCCTGTCTCAAAAATTTCTGTTTACAGTGGGGTTTTTAGAATCAGCATCCAAAATTCACTATTGTATTTGGTTAATATGTTTCTTTTAATCTTTAACAGTTCCCACTCCTTTTCTTCTTTCCCTTTATTTTTTTTTTTTGCAGAAATTGGGTCACCTGTCTTGTTATATGTGCTACATTCTAGGTTTGGTTGATTGTATCTCCAAAGTATCCTCTAGCATATTCTTCTATCACCTATAAATCCTGTAAACTGATGGCTGGACCTAAAGGCTTGATTAGATTTCAGGTTTGGGTGTTTTTGGCAAGGATACTTCACAGGCAGTATTGTGTATTTCCTATTGCAACACATCAGGAAGGACAAGATATGTGATTGTGTTTTTTTATGATGTTTTTTGGGCTCAGGTGATATAAGTCTGATTCTATCCATCATAATGTTCCCTGTCAGCTTTTTACCTAATTAACAATTTTAGCTACAAATGATAATCTCTGTCTACATCCATTATTTCATCTGGAGATGCAAAGTGGTTAACAGTCTATTTACATCATTCTTTATGCATTTATTAGCTTTATCCTTCTGCAACAAGAATTTTCCCTCATCAACTGTTTTGTTTATTATATTTTAAAAATATGAATCATTTGCATCTTGAGCTCCAAGCAGTGACTGAATTATTCAATTTATACAAAAAGACTGACCAATATTCAGTCTACAAATTTAGAAAAATCTGCAACTATTTGGGTTACAATAAACAACCATATACTGGTATCGTAAAGCTTTGATTGAAAGAATAACTCTTACTCTAGTTCAAAGACTACTTCAGCAAGTGGATATACAACCGTTTCAAAATTTATAAAGGTAACTATGCCTCAGGATCTGTATACATCCATGATGAAACTAAAGACAAAGACCAATAGGAAATGCTATCTGAATATAGGTAGTCCCCCATTTATGATGGGGTTCCGTTCTGATGACTCTGATGTAAGTAGGTTCTAAAATAAGTCAAATACCACATTTTTTTTTAAAGTTATCATAGCCTGCTATATGGCAGTGTTTTGAACAGTAAATGATAACATTAAACATCTGCAAGTGAACATCTGAGAATGGTAACATCAGCAAATTATGCGCTGCAACATTATATGTACAAAACAAAACACTGATGCCATTAATTACTTTTGTATGTGGCCTTTCTAGCCATGGTCTTCTGACTCCCACCCAGGTGATTGGCTGTAACTGTGCAAATGAGATAATTGTGGCCCACCGAGGTGACTGGTCAGTTTTGCCTTAAAAGAAAGCCAATTCCAGAGCAGAGAGGAGAGGCCACCACCACCAAAGAAGGAGAGACCCACAGAAGAGACCTGGAGGAAACCCACAGGAGATGGCCAAGTGGGCTTCCCGGCCCATGGAGCGAGAAAGCCGAGTGACTTTGGGCAGAGACTGAGGGCCAGGGAGAAGTCTATGCCTGACCCACGAACTTGGAACTTGCCAGCCTCCACAACCATGTGAGCCATTTCCTTTACATGGTTTGTGAGTTCTGTGAGATGTTGCAGTAAATTAGGGAACCCAAAGACAGGTGGGAGAGTATGAGGTGAGAGAGAGTAGTTTATGTTAGAGATGATGGAGTGGTACAGTAGCTTGGAAAAACTAGACATTTGGGACATCTTTAACCTCTGCCTCATACGAACAAACTTTGTGTTGATTCTTATAAAAGAAATTAGTCGTTTAAATGCTGACAATCATTTAAGTGCAGTTTGTTGTAACTAGAATACATTGTGAGTCAGGGACTACCTTTATCTCTGAATTAAGAACTACAGCTTGCTAGCAATAAAAAAGATTGCAGACCCTGCACCTCCCTGCCAAAAGAAGTTATTCAAAAACATCACCTCAAACTTAACAAATTATGGGATTATTTAAAGATGAAGAAGAAGGAAAATATTAGGCATTTGTTTATAGCCCTCACTTTCCATCTGGAAATATCTGCATAACAATATGCTTGTCTCTAAATGGTACTCCATTGACACACTCTGTTTTTAAAGATTGCACCTTATTTCATTTTCAATTTTTCAGGATTAAATTCCCCTATCTTATATTTCACTACTTCAAAAAGAGACTTACTACAGAAAATTCCAAACATATACAAAAGTGGAGAATAATATAATCAATCCTCATGTAACTAGTATCCAACTTCACCAACTATCAACTCATGGCCAATCTTGTTGCACCTATTATTTATGTATATAGAGTTCATATTAATTTTATGTGCTAATAATTTATATTAGTACAATGAAACCAAAAAAACCAATCTTCTTGCCATCGAGTTGATTCTGACTCATAGCGACCCTACAGGACAGAGTAGAACTGCTCCATAGGGTTTCCAAGGAGCGGCTGGGGGATTCAAACTGCCAACCTTTTGGTTAGCAGCTGAGCTCTTAACCACTGCACCACCAGAGCTCCATTAGTACAACAGCATGTTTTAAATATTTTATCTTTCTAAATATGTTTTACATGATCTTTTTTGCATATTTATAAATTTTTGTATTTATAATTTTTCTGTGTGAATTCTGAACACTGAAAAAATAAAATACCCTCTATTAATACTGTCATTTTGGTATTACATAAAATACTCAAATATGAATATTGTCATTTTGCTTTGTTTTGTTATTACTAGCGAGCGAGGCCTAAGACACTTGTCCTATACCTGTACCATCTCAGCCTTCCCCGGCACAATTACAATGCCTTGATTACCTCTACATTACAGTTATTATACTAAACTCTTTATTCCTAAATCATAACCACATATCTACATATAGCCTGAAAAACAGATGAAATAGAAATAAATCTTTTCTGAAAATTTTTCTTTCAAAGCATTTTTTAAAACTATTTTCCAGCAAGGCAAGGAAACCTTTATGTTATAATTTACAAATTTTATAGTTACAAAATTCAAACAGAATTATAAAATGAGGCAAAAAGGAAATAAAAATGTAATGTATTTTAGTGTAGTTTGTGGCATTCTACCTTTTCCTAACTTCTCAAGAGTATATATACCCACCATTTTTGGCTTCCAGCAATTTATTGATGATGTTACTAAGGTCAGCAATTTCAGAAGCTGCAGGGATTGAGAAAGGAACATCATCTACTGCATATCTATAAAAAAGAAATGACATATCAAGTTCAATTCTACAGATATTTTGATAAATGTGCATTTATTTATTCAACAAACACTTATTAGATACCTACTACATGCCAGACATTTTTCTACACGGGGCAAACAAAAATGAATGAAAACACGGTTGCTGTCCTCAGAAGGGATGTGAGTCTGGTAATCAAATACAGTGAAACTATGTAAAAACAATAAGTAATAACAATAAGCCATAAGTGATACAGATATAAAATAGGGGCACAAAAAAAAAATCATAGGCCACTTCATCCAAAGAAAATAAGGGTGGGGGAGTAGGGCCTGAAAAGATGTACAAAGAAGGTAACTCAAGCTACATCTAGAAAAGTGAATTTTTGCCAGGTGGGGAGAGGGGTTGGCAGAAAGAGGGGTGCTTGCAATCAGGGAGAACAGCAAAGCAGCAGCTAGAAGGTTTTAAACTGTTCACCGAAACCATTCCAGAAAGTGTGATTTTGCTCTAGGCAGTGACTAAAGATGAGGCTAAAAAGATGTGCATGGAATGCCTTATACACTACATGAAATAGTTTTTACTTTCTTGCATTGGCAATGAGAAACCATTGTAATAGCAGTCCAATTTAAGGAATAACATCATCAGAATTTTGTTTAGTTAGAGTTTTCTGACAGTACTGTGAAGAATGGATTAGAGAACAAAAGACAGGAAGCAGATTAGGAAATTCTTATAAGACAGAGGGGAGAAAATATCTGCAAATCAAATATCTGATAACACCTGTATCCAGACTATATAAAGAACACAACTCAATAATAAAAAGACAAGCCAGTTAAAAAATTGGCAAAGAATATGAATAGACATTTTCCCAAAAAAAGATATATAAGTGGCCAATAAGCACATGGAAACATCATTAGTCATCGGGGAAACACAAATCAAAACCACAAGGATATATCACTTCACACCCACTAAATCCACTGCCTTCAAGTCAATTACGACTCATAGCAACCCTGCAGGACAGAGAACTGCCCCATAGGATTTCCAAGGCTGTAAATCTTTAGGAAAGCAGATTGCCACATCTTTCTCCTGCGGAGCTGCTGGTAGGTTAGAACCGCCAACCTTTGGTTAGCAGCTGAGCGCTTAACCGCTGCGCCACCAGGGCTCCTTTCACACCCACTAGGATTTTCAAGGTTATGCCGAAAAGGTCCTTCGAAAGGATACCAGAGAGGGGAGACGAAAGGAGAGAAGGGGATGCTTACTTCTTGTTGTCAGTGTAGAAGCGTGTCTGGAGCTGAGCCATGGTGGTGGTGTAATGCGTACACACAAGACTTCCCAGAGAAATGTATGGGCTAATATAGAACGGGCGATCTAGTCTCTTGGTACTACAAAAAGAAGCAGCTCAAAATTAGACTGCACAGAGAAGAAGATGCAGTGGAAGTCTGACTTCCACTTTCCTTCCTAGGGCCTCCTCAGACTGCGGCACCACGAGGCCGCGCTTACCACAGTGCCCGAGCCCACAAACATCAACTGCCTATTCCTAGATTTAGGAATCATCGATCAGTAAAGCCTAGTCTTAAAGGTGGCGCGTCCCTTTCATCGCTTGGATTTCTTTCAATATATGTAGGCTAGTAGGAGCTCTGGTGGCACAGTGTTTATGCTGTCTACCGAAAGGTGGGCAACTGTACCCACCAGCCGCTCTCCGGGAGAAAGATGTGGCAGTCGGCTTCTGTAAAGATTACAGCCTTGGAAACCCTATGGGGCAGTTCTACTCTGTCAAAATCGACTCAACAGCAATGGGAAATGGGGTTACTTAGGCCTGTAATCGATTAGAAAGATACAAAAAGCCCCAACTCGAATCTATGTTTTTTGTTTGTTTGTTTGTTTTTATTTTCGATAAGTTGTCTTTAGACACGATACTTTAAACACGGCTCCCAGAGACTACAACCCCCAGAAAGCAACGCTTCTCAGACGCTGTGATCACTGGGAGTTGTAGTCTTTTTTGCCAGGCTTCCCTTGTGGTATTTATATTAAATCCGCCCGACTCCCTGCCAGATATTTATTATCTCTGCCTTCAGCTTTGACTGACTAGAGCCTTGCCCGGCTTCCCTTCTCACGTATACTCCCAACTAGAACCTCAGTAGCCCGAGATTTTTACTTGGCTCTCGCCTCTAGCTTCGGGTTTTAGATCCAGGTGAGGGGCGGGAATACGAAAAAAACGACGAATCAGAACAAAAACAAACGACGGTGACCGATAGGGGTCTTATCTCATGCGATTGTGCTGCGCCCTCCCGGAGGGGTGCGCCTGCGCATTGTGCTGGTCTCCATGGCGGGGCCTCGGAGCCAAGACGAGGTTGAGTAGACTCGTTTTGAATTTTACCCCCTCTGCTCCGGCACTTTGTGGACTTCCCTCTTCGCCCTGTAGGGCCCTTGGCGGTGACTAGGCTGGGGAGTCGGAGGTTTGGCAGAGCTATATGCGCCGACGGACCGGACGCTACCTCCCAACCCCCTTTCTTCCTCCTGCCTCGTCCCGTCACCCCCTGACCTGTCGGGGGCTCCGAGCACCCGCCTGCCCCCGTCCCCCGCTGCAGCAGGGCGCTGGCGGCATCTTCTGTGCCCAGCGTTGGGGCCTTTTCGGGGCCCGACATGGCGGGGCCTACTGCCCTTGGCCCGAGAGGGGGCTCGGGGGCTCTGGGGAGACAGGCTGGAGGAGGAGGATGTTAGGTGTCCTGAGAAGGGTTGCTAAGCCCGAGGACGCGCTTCCGCCGGGGAGACGAATCCGGACCCCTCAGGCAGGAGGGCCCAAACGGTGGTCCCTCACGCCACTCCGCGCCCCGCTTTTGCGGTGTCATGGTTTTTTTCCCGCTTTCTGAGCCTCTTTATGTCATATGCTTAGAAGGCGAAAGGCGTCCGCCTATACCTTCTCCCCAACTTTTTTATGTTTTTTGTTTAACTTGTCCAAAGGTCTATGCCTTGTTCTCAGTGTTCCAAGAATTGCTCTAATTTATAGTTATTTTTTTGAGGGAGAAAGGATAGATACTATCCACATCCCAAAGTTACTTTTTAAGGCCTTTTCCAGAAAAGCTACGAGAGGGTACTTCAAGAGACAACAGTTTAGAATCAGGCAGAAAATGGATTGCAAAATTTCTGGGCAGAGCGGTATGTGTACCGGTGAAGGCAACTAAAGCTTTTCTATGTTGCTTAAAGATGTACAATTAAGTAGACGCTTAATATTTAAATCAGTCATAGAAAATGATTTAGACAGTTCTAAGAGAAAAAGAGTCTTTTATCAGAGAGCAAGGACAGTGAAACTAGAACTATTTTCAATTTTTTTCACATTATTAGAATGCAGGCCCTGGAGCCAGAATGCCTGGGTGGGACTCCTGTCTCAACTACTTATTTAACCTCCCTGTGGCACACTTTGGTCAACTGTGAGAATTAAATGCAGCAATGGAAACACTCAGTAAATGTTAACTATCATTACCATTATTATTATGTAGATGTCAGTTTAACTAGAATCCCTGCCAAGCTCCCTGGGTGGTGCAAATATTTAACACACTTGGCTGCTAACCCAAAGGTTAGAGGTTTGAGTTCACCCAGAGATGCCTTGGAAGAAAGGCCTGGTGATCTATTTCTGAAAAATCAGCCATTGAAAGCTCTATGGAGCACAGTTCTACTCTGACACACATGGGTTGCCTTAGTTGGAATCCATGTGATGGCAACTGGTAACTGGTTTTGAGAACTTGAGCAAATTAGGGAGACTGTACACATGGGAAGAGGAATAAAATAAAACTTGAAATTCAAAGAAATCAGTTGAGGTTGCTGATACAAGAGATAATTGTAGTGGCGAGGATTTTACACATTAAATAAGTTCAAAACACTTTCTTAATTGAAGTCTTGCCACTGAATCCATGTTTCTGGTTTTGGTCGACATGGAAATAAAGTTACCAGTTTTCAACATTCTCCTTTAATCATGAGTAATATTTTAGTTTGGCAGTAAAATTGCACAAGTTAAAACTCATAGAACCTGAGATAATTTAGGTTCTGTTTCAGATTTTTTTTATTATTGATAATATATAATTTATTAAAGTTAATGCTTTTTAAACTAGCACTGACTTAAATTTTATTAAAATAGATACTTAATACTTAGAGTCAATACAGGTTGATCTTAATTTGAATTGAAAAATATGATCAGTAAAATACAGAACCTGAATATATGCTTAACAAGTTAAAACTACGATTAGCAAAGCAGAAATGTGGAATTCACTAAAATACTTTCTTTTTCATTTGACTGAGACCTTAGTTAAGGAAAAATTACATTAGTAAATATTGCAAAATTACTGAACATCTAGTATGGTGTTTTTGTTTTTTTACAACAGGTAGTGACTTATGTTCTATCTGGAGTTGCCTGCAAGCAAAAACTAGGATAGTTAATGCTTTTACTGTGTTTTTCTTAAGGAAACTAGTGTTTTTCTAGAACAAGCTTTTGGTTCTTAATGATTTCCTACGCAATTGATTTAGTATGGTCCTCATGAAGACATGTCGTCTGGAGAACCGTGAATGTCTAGCTTGGAAATATATTTCTCGTTATTACATTTTCCCCCTTGTATATGATGGCATAGTGTGATATGGTATAAAGACTATGCATGGATTTTTGAGTCCTAATTTTTTTTTTCCCTACTTGGTTTTAAAGTGAAACTGTAGTGCTCTCTGTGATCCTAGGCAAAGTACTAGATAAATTTGGTTTTCTCATCTGAAAATAGAGATCATAATACATACCTCAGAGTCATTGTGGGACTAAATGAAATAATTCATAAAGCTGTCAACTAAAGGGCAAAAAGAGGTACATAGGGACAGGGTAAGAAATAGGTAGAAGCCAAGATTACAGGGAAGCTTTATAGATTGGGTAAACCTTAGATACGAGAAAAGAGACATTATGAACATCATCCTTAAATTTTTTTCATGCTGTTCTGAAAAGTTAAAATAAGTATTATATATATATTTACATACACTGAGATTTTCGATGTTGGTTTAACCCACTACAGCTTTTCAAAACCCATCTTTAAAAAATAAATTTTTCTGTTAAAATATTTGTGAATTAGGAGTCTTAATTCTTGACATCACTTATTTATAGTAATTTTGTACAAATCATAAAAGGAACATATGTTATTTATCCACCTCTAAAAGATGAGGGAATTTTTATTTTCTAAGAGATTTTCGTAGTTAATAAGATCTGACGCCGAAATGGAATAGATTTCAAGACCCTTTCAATTTTAAGACACTAACCAAGGTACCTGTAATTAAGAGAAACTCTTAAGACTAAAGTTCAAGTGGCTTGATGCTAAAATTACTCTGGGGATTTAATCTCAGATTATTGGTTTTAATGGATAAATTTGAATACAAAAACCTATGGGGAAACTCAACAGCTTAAGTAGATGTTAAGGCAGTTTTATTTTTTCAATTGCATCTGAGAAATCACCTCTACGGTTCTGAACAAATAGAATTCCTGTTGAACAAAATCAAAACAGAGCAGTGACCCAAATATTGTTCTTTACGCAGATATGAGTAACTACACTCTGAATAGTCTCTTGCCCTCTGCCATGCATTCACTGTGTATAAACAATAAAAAAGCCCTTTCTCCCTGTAACACGAAACTTCTAATATTACAGTTTCTAATCTTTGCTTTCGATATAAGATAAAATCCACTTGTATAATGTAATGTGAAACATTCTAGAAGGTGAAATTTAATCGCTTAGTGTGTTTTCTGAAGTTCCATTATTAACTGCCTAGACCCCATATTTAATACTTTCTTGTTTCTTTTTGCTGTCTATCCAATCTCAGTACTTCTTTCTTAAGAAATGAGCTTGTCAGATCAATTCCAGGATTTTTTTTTTTTTTTTTTTTTGAGGGGAAAGGAGGTATTTATTCTCTCCTTGTGGCTCCAAAACAAGCCCTATTAGTAAATATTTTCCATGAGAAAAAATATGTAAGTTGCTGTGGAGGTCTTTGTTTCAGTGGTAGGTAGAAAATGTGAGAGATGAAACAAAAGTTTAGTTCATATCCCTAATTTTAGATAAGGAAACAGGCAGAGAGAGTCACCTTTGCTAGGACACATCGAGTTATCTATAGTCAGTCCTAGTCTTCAGTTCTCTTCAACTGAGTCTAGTGATGGTTCTAGTACACCAGACTGGTAAATGGCTATTTTGTAATAAAACCTGCATAATAAAATCTGATAATTTTCTTTATGTTTAGGAAAATATACATTGAATACTGTTTTATTACAGAGAAAAGGCTACTATGAAGACATAATTATAGCTTTGACATAAATGAGACTACAGCTGTCACAATTTAGTGCCCCCAAAAGGAAGAACTTCAGAGGACAAGAAAGGGCATTTCTGGAGGTAGTAGAATGCTTGAGGCCTGGAATTTAAACTTGAACCACTGCCTGAAGGTAATTATTTTTAACTAATTGAAAGTAACAGCTCCATAAAAGTTAACTCTTATTCTATTACATGTTAATGAAAAAGTCAAATTACACTTTGTATAGGTACTTTGTTTATGGTTACCAATTGGAAAAGAACATTTTATACCTAGCTTTTTAACATTAATATCCTCATTCTTAAAAACTATACTTTAACATAGAGTTAATTGGGAGTTAGGGATAATAATTTATAGGAAGTACTGACCTTGCCATTGAGAATAAATGGGAAAATTGTATATTTTAAGCCAACTCTGCAATTAGAGGATTGAAGAGGTTAATGCTAATTGATGGAAGAAATAGGGGAAAAGGAGATAATACTTTTCACTGCATTCAAGTTATTTTAAAGAAAGAATGTCTACAACTTGAAAATGTACTTTTAATTCCCAGTTCAGCAATGGATTAGGTCAGTAGTCAGATATTGAAACCCACTTCATATAGAAATTACTTTAAATAGTATTTTCCCGGTGTAATCGCAAAAAGCTTTTATAGATGTACTGTAGGACATACCAAAAGAAAAATTTTGAGTTTTACATCTCCAGAAGACAGCAGAAAAAGAAGTTACCTTTCTTACATAGCCAAAATCAGTCTGAGCAAAATTTCAAAATGGGTGGTTTGTGTTTGTCGGTCTTTCTCTTTCAACATTATCCCCTGCCCTGTATGAGCTCACTTCTTTAGGGCATTCATACTGCCCTAAGTCTTCACTGCAGCTTGTAGCTCTGACGTATTAGTGCTCTGAGCCTCCAATTTCTCACCTCCAGATTAAACTTCACTCCCTCAGCGTAGCTATTTTTAACTCATCTTAAAGGAAGAAAGCTATCCTTGTAGAAATTTATGCAAAATTGTTAATGACTGGTACTCTCTCCAGCATTTTTCTTTTTTAAGAGAAAGTGCTTATTAATTCCAGTGTTTAAAGCTATGGATTTTTTGACTGATGAAGGAGAGAGGGCGCTTTGACTGTAACATGTAAAGAATTCCCATTAGCAGTAGCAAAGAATATGGGCTTTGGGATCAACATATGTAGATTTGACTCCTGGCTCAGCCACTTAGTACGTTTGTAATCTTTGGAAAGTTACTTAACTTGCCTGAGTCTTAGTTTCCCTGTATGTAAATTGGTGCAAGAAACTAAATCATAAGGTTTTTGAAAGAATTAAATGATACATGTAAAACATTTTAGCACTGTGCCTTACATAGTTTAAAGTACTCAATAAATGATAACCTTACAACCTTGAGCAATGAGCCTTACTTTCCTTTTCTGTGCAATGGTGGTAATAATAGGTCCTACTTCACAGGATAATAGAGTGATTATTAATATTTTAGGTAATAATTATTAAACAGTGTGCATTCAGTAAACATTAAATTATTTTATAGCTATGGCAATTAAATTCATAATCTTAGTTCATCTATTCTATCGTAATAGTGCTTATATTAAAAAATAAAAGAACCTTCAGAAATATTTCTTAACCTTGATGTCATCATGATTAAACGAAACGAAACAAAACCCATTGCCGTTGAGTTGATTCTGACTCATAGCGACCCTATAGGACAGACTAGAACTGCCTCACGGGGTTTCCAAGGAGCCACTGGTGGATTCAATCTGCTGACCTTTTGGTTAGTAGCCAAGCTCTTAACCACTGTGTCACCAGGGCTTCTCTTCATGTTTAGACAGTGGATATTCCAATATATTCAATTTACTTTAGAAATTAAATTATATTCTTGACAGCAAATATTTCAGTTTAACAAGTACCTCAGCTGGAGTTTATTTTCACTTCAGTCTAACTTTGTAAAAGTTTTCTTTTTCAGTAACATTATTTTTTCTACTTATTGCCCAGAGAATTTAGTCAGTAAATAATTGTGAAATGCATAAAAAATATCATCACGATAGTCAACTATTAGAAACATAGAATCTTAGAACTGGATGGGATCTTAGAGATCACCTATACTAACTCCTCATTTTGAAAACTAGAAATTAAAGTTCAGAGAAGTTAAAAATTTGTCATCTTTTATTGAGTCTAGGCAGACTGCATGTACTTTCTTTATTACCTTTATGAGGTGTGTGAATATACATTTATGAAATGTGTGAATCATTTAAATAATAATAATGAAACAGAGTTTCTTAGTCATCTAAATATAAAATATTTGCAATTTTTCAAAGACGGTATAGAAAAGTATATTTAGAAGCCTCTTACTAAGCTCAAATAAGATTTGATTACATCAATGACATGACTGGTACATAACAGGAGGAATTTTGTCTTCAAGAACCCAAAGGGTTTATTTAGTCCAAAACCAAAACCAAACCCACTGCCGTCATGTTGATTCTGACTCATAGTGACCCTATAGGACAGAGTAGAACTGCCCCATAGGGTTTCCAAGGAGTGGCTGGTGGATTGGAACTGCCAACTTTTTGTTTAGCAGTGGTGCTCTTAACCACTATGCCACCGGGGCTCCAGATAGGTGAAATTTTGACTTCAGTTTACATAATCATAGATAATGAAAATAACTAACATTTATTGAGCATTAACAGTGTCTTGGGAACTGTGTTGAGCCCTTTGCAAACACTATTTTATTAAATCTTCGCAAGAACCCTATAGATAGAATATTATTCTCATTTTGCACATGAGGAAGCTAAAGCTCAGAGTGGTTAAACTAATATGACAAGTGAGTATAAAGCTGGAATTCAAACCCAAACCACATGACAGTAGAACACTTCTACCATTTTGTATATTTTTACTGAGAAAGCACTCGATTTTTCTTTCAAATTTTAATGAAAAAATACATACATTTGCATACACCTGAATTCCAACACTATTCAATTGTTCGACCAAAAATTTCAAGGCAATTTTGAAGTTCATACATTGTGATTTGTTAAGTCTTTAGTTCACAGTCACCCTGATTTTTTTTTTAATTAATAGACTTTATTTTTTAAAACAATTTTATATTTACATAAAATTGACCAGACATTCCCATATACCCTTCCCTTCCACTCTCCCACCCTTATCCCCTCACATAGTTTCCCCTATTATTAATATCTTGCATTAGTGTGGTACATTTCTTACAATTAATGACCAATATTGATACATTATTATTAACAGAAGTCTATAGTTTAAGGGTCACTCTTTGTGTTGTATAGTTCTATGGGTTTTGACAAATGCATGTCATATATCCACAATTCCAGTACGCCTGTGTTTCACCTATTTATCCACTCCACAAACCCCTGGCAACCACTGATTTTTTACTGTGTGTATAGTTTTGCCTTTTCCAGAATGTCATATATTTAGAATCATGCAGTATGTAGCCTTTTCAAACTAACTTCTTTAACTTAGCAATATACATCTAAGGCTCTTCTGGTCTTTTTGAGGCTTGATAGCTCATTTTTTTTTTATTGCTCAATAATATTCTTGTGCGGGAATATACTACACATTGTTTACCCATTCTGCTACTGAAGGACATCTTGGTTGCTTCCAGTTTTGAATAAAGCTGCTATAAACATTCGTGTGCAGGTTTTTGTGTGGATGTGTAAGTTTTCAACTCTGTTGGTAAATACCTGGGACCTGATTGCTGGATTATACGGTAAGACTATGTTTAGCTTTGTAAGAGCTGCCAGACTGTTGTCCAAAGTGGCTGTACCATTTTGCCTTCCCACCATCAATGAATGAGAGTTCCTGTTGCTCCGAATCCTTGTTAGCATTTGGGATTGTCAGTTTTTTGGATTTTACCCATTCTAATAGGTGTATAGTGGTATCTCATTGTTGTTTTAATTTGCGGTTCTCTTATGACACATGATGTTGAACATCTTTTCATATGCTTATTTTCCATCTGTATATCTTTAGTGAGGTGTCTGTTCAGATCTTTTGCCTATTTTGTAACTGGGTTTTCTTTTTTTAATATGATTACTTCATAGGTAGTAGTGTCTTTGTTATTATGTCATTAGCCATTGGTAATCATTGTTTAGTCTCATAACTTTAAAGTGTAGTAAAGTGGTGAGTTTTTTTTTTTTTTTAATTCTGTTGTTCCATCTTCATTTATTAGCTTATAAAAAGAGAAGTTTCTCATCAAGTATTTGGGTATTCTGACATCACAATTGTATGAGAAAGACAGATAAATGTTTGACTCGCTCTCCACTTGTTGTTCATCCTTCTCAAAATAATGAGTTAGTGTCCTATCATCCTCCAAAGGTGAACAATGGAATTTTTTAGTATGATTGTATACTCATGAACTTAAATGTTTGATATATTTCAATGTATTGCAATATTATCATTAGTGATGCTCATTATCTCCCATCTTTGGCCAGTGGGTACATTTTCAGATTGGCTTCTAAGTCTTCTTGATGCAAATCTGTTAGTCTTTAGCTTCCTTACTTTCTGCTATTATAGGCTATTCCAGGCTCACCTTGTATATTTCCTGCTCCAGACCTGAACTCAGCCATTTCTCTAAGGATGAGGTTCTATCAGTTTTGCCTTTATACTTTATTATTTAGTGCGTGCAAGTTAAAACAATTCTATCTTCCTGGTGATTTGAAGCCTTTCTCATTACTTAATAACTATCTCCGTTCCTAATAATCCTGTTTATCTTCAAGTCTACTATGTTTATTGTTAACATACATTAAAAAGTTAAAGGACGTTTTAACATTTTGTCTATGATCAGAGTAACATGCTTTTGTTTTCTAGTTGAAATGAACAGCTCAGTTTTTTTTTTTTTGCTGTTTGCCTAGGCTTTTTTTTAATAAACTTTTCAACTGATCACATTTTAGCTGTGTCTTAAACAGCGTTTAACTGGTGTGTTTAACCCATTGGAATTACTAATAATTTGGTCATCTCTCTATTGTTCATTGTGGTTTCTGTTTGCCTCACCTTTTCTGTGCTTCTTTCCTCCTATTTTACCTTTTATTAAATTGATATTCATAATTTCATGCATTATTCCTTTTTTTTTTTTTTTTTTACTTTCTACTGATTTAAAAATTCTCTTCTTATAATGGTTACACTTAAAATTTTACCATACAATTCTAAAGTTAAAATTTAATCACCCTTTCTTGGAACAATACAAAGACCTTAAAACACTTTATCATCATCTCCTACAGAGGTACATGTATTTTTATTTAGTTTTCCAGTGTTTTATTTCTGTGTTTATGACACATGTACTCAAAATTAGAATATTATTATTTTTATTATATACAAACATTAATTTTTAGATTTTCTTCATAGTATTAATTTATTTGTCTTCTTTCTTTTTTTCATCTCTTCACTTCCATCTGGTATAATTTTTGGTTTTCCTGTACAACATTTTTTAGGATCTGTTGATTGTAAGCTGTCAAAAAAAAAATATCTCGAAGTATCTTTCTTTTACTGTCTGAAAAAATCGTTTTGAAGTATAATTCTGCATTGATAGTCCTTTTTTTTTTTTTACCTTAAAGATACTATTCCAATTATTTCTACTGCCATTATTGCTATTGAGAAGTCTACCATCAGTATAATGTCAGTTCTCAGTTCATGATTTGTCTTGTCTCTCTAGTTGCATTTTAGATTTTCCTCTCTCTTTAGAATTTTGCACTTTCAATACATTGTGGGTTTTTGTGTTTTTTTTGGTTTTTTTTGTCTTGATATCCTTTATGCTGTCTTTATCTGTAGATTCATGTCTTCAGTTTTGGAAAATTGTCAACCATTATCTCTTCCAATATTGTCTTTCTTTCATTTTCTGTATTCTGTCCTTCTAAAACTCCAATTTAATGTATGCTATACTTTTTCGTTATATTTTTCATACTTTTAAATCTCTTATTTACATTTTTATCTCTTTTCTTCCTTGTGATGCATTTGGGTAATTTTTAAATCTATCTGCCAATTTAGTATTTGTGTATGTGTTTGTGCATGTGTGCATGCGCGCGTGTGTTCGTCTATCTGCTATTTAGTATATTCGTTGGCTTTTTAATTTTAGCAATTATATTTTTCATTTCTGAAAATTCTGTTTCATTCTTTTCAAATTAAACTTTTGATAGTCTGTGGTTGCTTGATTATTCCTGTGATTTATTATTTTATTTATTTAAACATTAAATAATTATTTTATATTCAATATCATGTGGTTTCAATACTTGAATTCTTTGGAGGATGTCTAAATCTGCTGACTCTCTCTCATGGTGGCTTATTTCCTTGTATGCTTGGTATCTTTGATTGTGAGCCCATATTTGATCGATCTTAATGTGAAAGGAAACTGGCGTTTTAATTGACTTTGTGTTCCTCCAAATAGCTATATTTGCTCTTACCAGAAGCCAGCTTACACTGTTGTCCTGGGATGTTTCAGGTTCCTAGCCTCATTTTGCTAGTTTCAAATTTTCCCTTCCAGCTGCTTGTCAAAGCCCCAATTTCCCAGCCACAAAACCTGAATTTTCTTGGGGGAAATTCTCCTGTTTGCTTGAGATCATCACTTAGGTTTTAGCTCACAGCTTTTTTTCTCCTCCTTCCCCAATGGGAGAGTAGTCTCTGATTTTTGTTATTTCCTATAACCAAGTCCAGCCACACAATAAAGATTTTGTTTTAGGTCAGCTTTTATTTTTTTATTTTGCAGCAAGAGGGCCTTCTATGGTATCTAATCTATGTTACCAGTAGTAGAAGTTTATTTTTTAAATCCCTTCTAAAAAACATTATTCATTAGTCATGTATGCACACTGCAAACAAATGAAACAGAATAAGAGATTATAAAATAAAATTGCTCTTACATCTATCGCCTGAGAGGTAACTATAGGCTTTTTGGAATAATTTAGATTTGAATAGAAGCAACAGTTTAAAATGTTAAAGGAGAAGCAGCTTTAGGATATTTTATAATTATGCAGTAAAATAAGGCCAATTTTATAGCCTGATACTAAAATTCATATCTCAGAAAGTTTTACAATAATTTGGAATTATGAAATGGCAAAACTTATAGATATTCTGAAATGCTTAAATTTACAAATGTATGTTAGGATTCTATCATAGAAAATATTCACCAGTTTCATTTTGATGTTACTTCAATTCTGAGACGTAAAATTTCATTTATTTTACGTATATAGGACCTAGTAGTCATGATAATATTAACATTGCCACCACTGACAGTTTGGGGCCTGAAAATTCTTTTTTTTTTAATTGTGCTTTAAGTGAAAGTTTACGGTTGAAGTCGTTTTCTCATATAAAAATTTATACATACATCACTATGTGACCCTACCTGCTCTACCTATAATGTGGCAGCACGCTCCTCCTTTCCACCTCGGATTTCCCGTGTCCATTCAACCAGCTCCTGTCCCTTTTTGCCTTCTCATCTCGCCTCTGGACAGGAGCTGTCCATTTAGTCTCATGTATTTACTTGAGCTAAGAAGCACTTTCTTCACTGGTATCATTTTATGTCCCATAGTCCAGTCTAATCTTTGTCTGAAGAGTTGGCTTCGGGAATGGTTTCAGTTCTGGGCTAACAGAGTCTGGGGGCCATGTCTTCTGGGGTCCCGCCAGTCTCAATCAAACCTCTGGTCTTTTTACTAGAATTTGAGTTCTTCACCCCACTTTTCTCCTGCTCTATCAGGAACTTTCAGTTGTGTTCCCTGTCAGGGTGGTCATTGGTGGTAGCCAGGCACCATCTAGTTCTTCTGGTCTCAGGCTGATGAAGTCTCTGGTTTATGTGGCCATTTCTGTTTCTTGGTCTAATATTTTCCTTATGTCTTTAGTGTTCTTCATTGCTCCAGGTGGATTGGGACCAAGTGATGTATCTTAGATGGTGGGGCCAGGAAATTCTTTGTTGTAGGAGGCTGTCCTGTGCATTGAAGGAGGTTTAACAGCATCCCTGGCCTCTACCCATTAGATATCTGTAGCATCTCCCTCCACATCTGTGACAACCAAAAATGTCTCCAGACATTGCCAAATATTACTTGGGAGGTAGGCAAAATCATCCCTGGGTTAGAACCACTGTACTAGGCCTAAGAGAGTCAAGTTTTTGGTATAAATATATTCCCATTTTCAAAGTTTGTCAAGCTAATATTACGTGGTGTGAGTTGTGTATTTTTAATTCCCATCTAGATCTTTCCTAAAATTATATAATGCTATAATGGGGCACACCCAACTCGTAAAGTTAAAACCCTTTATTTGTATTCAAGCTGTGTAAGATTAGAATTTAAAAGTACTTGAAATGGTGTAACTGAACCTTGTCACGTAGAAGCGGCCTTCATAAACCAGTACACAAGTGTAATTAACGATAGGATGAAGGGACTGATCTTTGCTCTGCCTTGAATGTATTGTGGTGCCTTGGCAAGTCATTTCACAAAAATGTTAACATTCTTATCTAGAGTGAAAATGATTTAACCTAAATTGTAAAAGTTAACACAGTAAGGGCGATGAGCAATCTATTAAAGTAAAACATTGCATAAAAACCGTAAGTGCTTTAGTTGATCAGATATTTGAACTCTTTCAGCTATTAACTAATAGAAGAAAATGGGATTGAATATGCTATCAGCATGGAACAGTCTAATGATTCATTAAGAGTCGATCATCATGATGGCAAAGAATCAAAAACAGATGCTCAGGTATTTGAGGTAGGGATTCAGCTGAGAACTTTGTTCTGTTCTGTGGGAAAACAGCATGCCATTTAGCAACTTTTTATCCTTAAGGAATAGCTGTTGTATTTAATATGTTCAAGAATTTTAACATTAAATTATCCACACATTCTTTCATAGATTTAGTTTTATAATGTAGAGCTTTATGTAAACTAATGAATGAACTTACTTGAAGTAATGAGCTTTCCTTGATGTTATATTAATAAAAATGTATGTATAAAGAAAAATCTATACATTAAATTATATTTCATCATTTTAGGTTGTAATATCATGGACAATTTTATCTCAATAAAATTGAGATATAAAATATAAAAATGAAATAATTTTACTTAAGAACTATTTTCTGTATATATTTGTGTGAATTGACAGCTCTTGCAAAAAATAAAATGATTAACTGAAAAAATCTTTCCAGTTTTATTTTTTAAAATCCATTTTTTAAAAAAACTAGTAGTATATTTTACAAAGACTGAAGTGATTTTTTTTTTCCTTTGCAAAAGCATCTAACCTGTATAGACTCCAGGGATCCTTCCTTTGGACAAAATGATTCTTCTACAATTGTGCCCATTACTACCCATGAAGCAGATAATTCACTCTCATCACAGAATATACCAGGGCCCCTGACCCAGACACAGCCTTCTTCTACAGAACAATTCCATCTAGTGGACCAAAATGGGCAACCTATGCAGTATGAACTTCAGTCATTGGGGGATTCTAGTGCACAAATGGTAAGTATATATTATAAATAATCAGTTTTATGCTATTTAGCAAAATATATTAGTCTCAGTGTTGTTAGTTGCTATTGAGTCGACTCCGACTCATGACAACTTTATGTGTAATAGAATAATATGTTGCCCAGTCCTGCACCATCTTCAAGATCTTTGATATTTTTGAGTCCATTTTTGTGGGTATTGTGTCAGTCCATCTAGTTGAGGGCTTTCTTCGTTTTCACTGACCCTCTGCTTTACCAAACATGATGTCCTTTTCTAGCTATTGGTCTTTTCTAATGATAAGTCTCGCCATCCTCACTTCTAGATAACCTTAATTTCTTTCTTTCTTTTTTTATTTTTATTGTGATTTAGGTAAAAGTTTACAGAGCAAATTAGTTTCCCATTAAACAGTTAATGCACAAATTATTTTGTGACATTGGTTGCCAACCCTGTGATTTGTCAATACTCTCTCCTTTTCCACTCCAGTTTCCCTGTTCCATTCATCCAGTTTTCCTGTCCCTTCCTGCCTTCTCATGTTTGCTTTTGGGCTGGTGTGCTCATTAGTCTTGTATATATGCTTGAACTTTGAAGCACGTCCCTCACGTGTGTTATTGTTGGCCCTACAGACCTGCCTAATCTTTGGCTGAAGGGTAAATCTCAGGAGTGACTTCAGTACTGAGTTAAAAGGGTGTCCAGGGGCCATGCTCTTGGGGTTAATCCAGTCTCTGTCAGACCCAGCAAGCCTGGTCTTTTTTGTGTGTGTGTGAATTTGAGTTTTGTTCTATATTTTTCTCCCACGCTGTCTGGGACCCTCTGTTGTGATCCCTGCCAGAGCAGTCAGTGACCATAACCAGGCACCATCTAGTTGTTCTGGGCTCAGTCTGATGGAGGTTGTGGTAGTTGTTGTCCATTAGTCCTTTGGACTCAACTTTCCCTTTTGTCTTTGGTTTTCTTCATTCTCCTTTGCTCCAGGTGGGATGGGACAAGTAGATGTATTTTAGATGGCTTTTAAGACCCCAGTCGTTACTCACGATGGTCAGAGGTAGAGTATTTTCTTTATAGACTATGTTATGCCAGTTGAGGAGCCCTGGTGGTACAGTGGTTAAAGCAATAGACTGCTAACCAAAATTGGTAGTTCAAAATCACCAGAGGCTCCAGGGGAGAAAGATGTGGTAGTCTGCTTCTGTAGAGATTTACAGCCTTGGAAACCCAATGGGGTCGCTATGAGTGGGAATGGACTCTATGGCAGTGGGTTTTTTATGCCAGTTGAACTAGATGTCCCCTGAGACCATGGTCCCCAGCCCTCAGCCCAGTAGTTTGGTCCCTCAGGGAGTTTGGATGTGTCTATAAAGCTTCTATGACCTTGCCTTGGTCAAGTTGTGCTACCTTCCCCAGTACTGTGTACTGTCTTACCCTTTACCAAAGTTACCACTTATCTACTATCTAGTTAGTGTCTTTCCCTCCCTAGTCATGAAAATGGAAATGGAAAATGGAAATGGAAACATTTTCATGTGTTTTTATGATAGTGGTCTCATACAGTATTTGTCCTTTTGTAATTGACTTATTTCACTCAGCATAGTGCCCTCTAGATTCATCCATGTTGTGAGATGTTTTGCAGATTCATCATTGTTCTATATTGTTGCATAGTATTAACCCCAATTTCTTGACACTATTGACTTATATTGCATTGAAAATACTATTTCCATGACCTTCATGTTTAAGATATGTAAGGATTTTAAAAGATTTCCTTTGATAACAAATACTATTTTAAACTAATTTCTCAGCCACCATGTCTAGGTACACTGGTACTTTGAGATCAATTGGAAATGTAACATGATCTGAAATTAGTACTAAAGTAGCAGAGTATACATATAATTTACATTTCTTTATATATGCATTAGACTGAACTCAAGTTTATTGCCTTATCAACATCTCACTCACTGAGTTGCATGCCACATGCTAGTATGGTTTCTTGAAGAGAACAAAAGCAATGGAGGCACCACTGGTATACTGGAAATTAGACATGACCCTTGCTGATATTTGCTGGTCGATATGTGTGTGTCATATGACTAACAGTGCATAAGGATGAAAAGATAAAAATACTGCTTTAAACTGTTAGCTAAAGGTATTTTTGACCAAGTTTGTAGTCTCAGTAGAAGAGATAAAAGATGGTTTTCATGCAAATTAAAACCACAATGAGATACCATCTCACCCCGGCATTACTGGCACGAATCAAAAACACTGGAAATAACAAATGTTGGAGGGGCTGCGGGGAGATGGGAACTCTTATGCACTGCTGGTGGGAATGCAAAATGATACAATCATTTTGGAAAATGATTTGGCGCTTCCTCAGAAAGCTAGAAATAGGCATACCATTCGATCCAGCAATCCCACTCCTAGGAATATAGCCTAGAGAAATAAGAGTCATCACTCGAATAGACATATGCACACCCATGTTCATGGCAGCATTGTTCACAATAGCAAAACGATGGAAACAACCTAGATGCCCATCAACAGATGAATGGATAAACAAACTATGGTACATACAGACAATGGAGTACTATGCAATGAGAAAGAACAACAATGAATCTGTGAAGCATCTCATAACATGGATGAAACTGGAGGACCTTAAGCTGAGTGAAATAAGTCAATCACAAAAGGACAAATATCATATGAGACCTCTCTTGTAAAAACCCATGAAAAAGTTCACACACAAAATGTAACAATCTTTGTTGGTTACCAGGGATGGGAGGGGTGGGGGGGGGAATATTAAATAGGCAATAGATAAGTGGTATCTTGGGTGAAGGGTGAGACAGTACACAATACAGGGGAAACTAGCACAACTTGTACAAGGAAAGGTCATGGAAGCCCCATAGACACATCCAAACTCCCTGAGGGACTGAATTGCTGGGCGGAGGGCTCTGGGGACCATGGTCTCGGGGAACATCTAGCTCAATTGGCATGACACAGCTTATAAAGACAATGCTCTACATTCTACCTTGGTGACTAGTGTCTGGGGTCTTAAAAGCCTGTGAGCGGCCATCTAAGATACTCCACTGGTCTCATCCCTTCGGGAGCAAGGGAGAATGAAGAGAACAGGATACAAGGAAAAGATTAGTCCGAAGGACTAATTGTCCACAGCTACCAAGGCCCCCACCGGACTGAGTCCAGTACAGCTGGATGGTGCCCAGCTGCTACCACTGACTGCTCTGACCAGGATCACAACAGAGGGTTCTGGACAGAGCTGGAGAAGGATGTAGAGCATAATTCTAACCCCCCAAAAAACAACCAGATTTACTGGCCTAAAGGAGACTGGAGAAACCCTGAGAGTATGGCCCCCAGACACCCTTTTAGCACAGTGGTGAAGTTACCTCCGAGGTTCACTGTTCAGCCTGGGAGTGGACAGCCCCGTAAAACCAAATGAGACTAATGAGGTACAGGAGTCCAGTGATGGGCCAGAAGGCAGAAGGGGACAAGGAAGCTGGTGATAGGGAACCCAAGGTTGAGTAAGGATATTGTTGATGCGTTGGGAGATTGTTAACCATTGTCATAGGGCAACATTTGTAGTAACTGTTAAATGAGAAACTATTTTGTTCTGTAAGCCTTCATCTTAAGTGAGAATAACAGCACAATTGGAAGGGCGTAGTCAATGTCACTGAACTGTGCATGTAGAAATTTTTGAAATGGTGTATCTTTGGCTATGTGTATTTTCACCAAAAAAAAAAGGTTGAGAAGTTAGAGGGTTAATATGTTGTGGGGTTGTTAACCAGTGTCATAAAACAATATGTGTACTACTGTTTCATGAGAAACTATTTGTTCTGTAAGCCTTCACCTGAAGTACAGTAAAAAAATTTAAAAAAAGATGGTTTTCATTGAAATAAGGAAAATTACTTTTAAAAACTTCCAAGTTCCTACTAATTATTAGGGGAGAATTTTAAGAGTAAATTAATCTTTTCTCTCTATGGAGCAATGTAAATATAGTAAATTCTGTATATGAAGAGCCCAGTAAGTATAAGACTGCTAATTAACCAAAGTTTTCTGGTAATTTTCATGGTTTGCCTCAAATTGAATATATTATAGCACATGACTTTTCAAAATTATGTTTGTTTTCATAGCAAAAATTAAAGATAATTAGCTGTTTTTTATAGGAAAAGTAATAGTTTCATCACTGTCATCAAATAAGATGAATTGAAAATAGTTTCTTAGATTTCAAATTCTCATGGACTCCAGACTTCCTGGAGCCGTGAAGGTTGGATGAATCCTTGAAACTATTGCCCTGAGATAATCTTGAAAACTTAAACCAACAATATCCCCTGAAGACTTCTTAAAACCAAACAGTAGTTTAGCTTAAGTAGTAAAAAAAATGTCTGCCTTGAGCATTATTCTCTTTTAAGAACTATCTATATGGAATCAAACTGACAACAGCAACTGGAAAGATTAGATAGGAACCTTAGGGGGCAGTGAATCTATGTTAATAAGAGAGGAACAACTCAGAAAAGGAGGGTAAGAATGGTTGTACAACTTGCAGAATGTAATCAGTGTTACTAAATGGTACATGTAGGAACTGTGGAATTAGTGTATGTCTTGCTGTGTATATTCTCAACAAAAACAACAGTAAATAAAATTTAAAAAAAACTTTCTTAGGTAGCAGGTGGAGTAAGCTAAGGAGAGAGAAAATGGAAGAGACTTTTCTCCATTGTACTTGGGAAATAATAGTTTCAAAAGTAAGGGGGCATTCCACAGATCGTTCTTAGTTATGAAATATTCATATGACTGAGTAAATTGCAAAACTATTATACATGTCTAATTCAGATTTGAAAATAATCACAGCACTGTTTTTTTTCTCAGAATGAAAAAAATGCTATTTTTCACAGGTATTTTATCTCATAGTAAGTGGCAAATAACTTAAAACAATATTATTACTATTGCCTTTTTTAAAAAGTCCAGTGGGTTTTTTATTTTGTTTTGGTTTTGCCTTTTTTTTCCTTAAGTAACATCATCAAACATTGGGAGGCAGTACAGGTAGTGGTTAAGAGGAGTTAGACTACTTGGGTTTGGATTTTAGCTCACCACGAAATAACTCCATGTAACCTTGCATGAGTGTTTCACCTATGTGTGACAGCTGCCTCATCTATAAAATGTAAATCATAAAATTGTGATGAGGATTAAGTAGGGTAATAATACAGGTAAAGTTTGCCTCTAAATATGCACTCAACAAATGTAAGCAGCTATCATCAGTGTTTACAGTTGCTGTCATGCGGAAGTGATAAGAGGTATGCTATTTTCATCTCAAGAAACTTGATAAACATTGGGGTAGGGAAACAGTTTTCACTCTTGATTTCTGCCAAATGTTTTTAACTGTATTTAAAGCATTCTTCATTGCTGAGTTTTTGTATTTTTGTTTTTGCTTTTTTCAAATTTAAGATTTAAATGACCTTCTTAAAAGTAGGAATGCAGGCTGTCAGCATCAGCAAAGTTCTTGTGTTTTACATAGCAAAAAGGAGGTCTGGGAAACTGGGTTGGAATGATTAGAGAGAGCTACTGGCACTAGAGGGAACTGATGACAGAGACTTTGGGTTAAACAGTAGAATTATATACATAGGAGAATAGTATGTTAGGTAATAAAGTTTATAGGGTATCCAAAACCTCTGGAAAGATAGGATAAACTTATTTTCAAATAGTGTGTGTCTCAGTTATCTAGTGCTGCTATAACAGAAATACCACAAGCGGATGGCTTTAACAGAAATTTATTCTCTCACAGTCTAGGAGGCTAGAAGTCCAAATTCAGGGTGCCAGCTGTAGGTGAAGGCTTTCTCTGTCAGCTCTGGAGGAAGGTCCTTGTCATCAATCTTACCCTGGTCTAAGAGCTTCTCAGTGCAGGGACCCTGGGTTCAAAGGACACGCGC